AAAAAAAAAAAAAAGAGAATGCAGGAGTGCCCTATGGAGAGGTACACAGGAACTAAAACTTGCTGTTACAACAGATTGCCCCTTCTTTGTTCCTCCAGGGTTGGGGGTTCTTAGAGCTCATAGGACATCTGAGTCACTGCAGTTGAATAGCAAAATAAGTAACTTTTGTACTCTTTTTTTTTGGCGGAGGAGTCTGGGGGACTAAACCTTGAGCCTCACACATGCTAGGCAAGTGCTCTTCCACTGAGCCACAGTCCCAGCCCTTTTCATCTGTTTGAGACAGGGTCTTGCTGAGTTGCTCAGGCTGAGCTCAAACTTGGAATTCTCCTTCCTCAACCTCCCGAGTAGCTGGAATTACAGGTGTGTGCTACCGTGCCCCGCTCACTTGCTGTCTTTAAATGGCTATTTCTTGCTCTTTTAGCAGTTATCATAGTTGAATTTGCTTAAGTAAAAGGTACAGAAGGTGTTGCTCTTAAAGATCCATCTTTTGGGATAAGGAAGACTGCCACCTCTGTTCCCCAACACAGACTACGATCCTCTTATTCTGTCTTTTAGCATCCAGATCTCACCATGGGCCAGAAGCGTTACCTGTGCAGCATTGCTAAGATCTATAATGCAAACTATCTGAGGACATTGATGAAGGGGCAATACATGAATGTGATCCAGCGCAGCTCACTAAAGCCAGGCAGGTGACCTCCGGTTAGTTCCTCCCTAGCTTCACATGCAATGAGTCTTCTAACAGAGGTGATTTGTATGGCAGGTGTCCTCATTCATCACAGGAGTCGCCTCAGCTCTCGTTACTCACAGAAGCAGCATTACCCCTGCACTACATGGCGACACCAGCGAGAAAGAGAGGACTCTTCTAGCAGCACAGCCGCATCTGCACCTGAAGTGATCATCCAGCACTCTCTTTGGCGGCCAGTGAAAAACAAAGAAGGGTCTGTTTCTTATGTTTTTTTGTTTGTTTGCTGTTGTGACTCTTTTTTTTTTCCTATCACTGAGGACTGAACTCAGGGCCTTCCCACTAAACTAAATCCCCAGTCCTTTTTAAAATTTTGAGACAGGGCCTTACTACATCACTCAATTGCCCATGCTGGGCTCAAACTTGTGACCTTCCTGGCTCAGCCTCCTAGAATGCTGGGATTATAGGCATGTACCACCATGCCTGGCTATTTGGTTTTTGAGCTAGAGTCTCACTATGCAGCCTAGGCTGGCTTTGAACTTACAATCCTACCTCTGACACTTGAGTGCTGGGATTAAAGGGGTATGCCACTGTGCCTGGCCTGTTTCTTATGATTTAAGAGGGAGGAAATCTATCCAATTTTATCTGGAGATTAGCTAAATGATACTAAAATTTGTGTTCCTAATATGTTCACTTTACTAAACTCAGAATAGGATGGACAAAGGCACAAAAGGATCTTCCTTCTTTTTTGATACCGGGAATTGAACACAGGACCTCACGCTTGCCAGGCAGGCACCATGCCACTGAGTCACATCCCTGGCATGCAGAAGATCTTATTTCTCCTCACTGAGCTCAATGGGATATGCCACTTCTTTTACAGCATGTTTTGTGGAACTGTAAAAACTTCTTGATTAACTAGAAATATAGGCTGGCCTCTTTAACGTGATCCCATTTAAATTCAAAATAATGCGAATATTTTTAAAAGGAGAAATATACAGTTGCTTCTGCACAGGGAATTACTGTAAACCAAAAAAGGAAGGAGGTAAAAAGAGAAAACCTGAGTATTCAAACTGTGCTATAATAGTTTTGCATTGTCAGGTTAATAACTGGTGGCTGAAATGATCTCTGCTAATTCCAGAAGCTAATGAAAAGAATTGGTGTGGTTTTGTGCATGCATTAGGCAGCTGTTCACTTTGCTGGCTACAACTAAGATATCTCCTTCTTATAGGTTAAAAATTGGATATGCATCTAAAATAAGGTGTAAGTCACTGAAGATTTTCAGAAGACCAAGCAAACTGTTCATGCAGTCAGGTAAATACAAAATTTAGAGATACGCATATGCATTTTTGAAGGTACTATTTTTAAGAATTAAGCCAAATAGTTTCATTCTGAAGACATTAAAACTTTTAGAATGTTAACTGCTTTGATTGCTTTAGATAAACATACTAAATATGAAACAGTTCATGTTTTCATTTATGAGAACACACTGCTTGGGCTGGGCTTGGTGGCACATTCTTGTAATCCCAGCACCCAGGAGGCTGAGGAAGGAAGATCACCAAGAGTTTAAGGCCAGCCCCTGAACTACAGAGTGAGACTCTGTCCTAAAAAAAACAAAAAACAAAAAAACCAAACCAAAACAAACCCATACTTCTCAAGGAAGTGACATTCAGGGCATTTCTTCTTCTCCTTTTGGTGGAGCTAGAGATTGAACCCAGGGCTTCACACGTGCTAAAGAGATGCTCTATCACTGAGTTACATCCCCAGTCCTTTAAGGTATTTCTAATTCTAAATAAGGACATTTACAATATCAAGGCCAGCAACTTCACAGAGAATAAATCCATCAGAACCCAGATCTACAAACATAACCTTTTCAAGTCATCACACTTTTTTTATGAGATAGTACCATTTTTGGATGGACAAAATATTTTGTATAGCATCTAGCACTTTAAAAAGGACAAATATCACTGATACTGTTTTGTTTGATATTCAGCACACCAGCAGAAACAAGCTAAGCAGGTGATTATCAACATTTCACAGATGAAATTCAGACTAATTCAGACTTTGGAAGGATCAGCATAAAGGATTCTTATGTTACAACTATAAAATAGTACAAAATGAAGAAGGCAAAACAGGAAGACAGAATGAAGAATCAGAAGTATTTCTCAGGATTAGAAAAGGATTATATGGAAGTTGAATAATTTCCTAGTTACTACTATAGTGGCAGAGAAGAGGGGAAGTTAGGTCCCTGAATTGACATTCCGTTAGTCAGTGACAGTGTCATCCAGCTCTGATGCCAGTAGCATACTGTGCCTACCCAAGAAAGGAGGGGAAATGCATGGGGGAAAGTAAGTGGTTCCCAAAGAACAGGTACAGAAAACACAGACAGGGGAAAAGGTCACTATGGCCCCTGAGAGAAGGAACTAAAGGACAACGGAGAAACACTGGCGGGTATGACTGACCATTTGAACATCTCCTAATCAAAATATTTTGAGAATCTATAGGAATATGACACTCAGAGAATTTCCTGTACAGATCCTTGATTAGAATATAGTTCTGTGAATCTTAAAGAGTGAGAGATTTGGGGTAAAGGGAGGTGACTAAAAGTTGAAAACTACAGGCAGTTTGTCTTTACTAAAGCACAGTTGGGTCATTTTGTAAGTTGTGTTTTGAACTTTATTTTTAAAACTGACGAACTATTTTTCCTTCAGTTTCTTCAGATGATTCTGGATCATACATGAATGAAGAAAAAAAGGAAGATGATCTATTAAATAAAAGTATGCAATCAATGTCCATTGAAGAACAGGGAGATCATCTAATGTTAAGCTGATAGTCTTGTTACTGAATTCAAACAGCAGCTGATATTCAGATACCATGCCAAAGGGGTCGTAAATTATGCCCTCTGTGTGTAGGATAGTGTTATTCACCATTAAGTCATCTGTTTTGGTTTGTTCAGAAACTTTTGTAACATTGTAATTGGTCTGATATAGTTCTGTGTACCAGTGCCATTTGTGTAATGGAATTTATGTGTAATATATGCTTGTATTTCTGTCTAGGTAAATTAGAATTTTTCTTGTCACTTAAAATTGAATTATTTTTCTTTAATTCTGACAAATGCATTGTATAATTCTTTCTGTTTACAATAAATACTGATATGGCAACATTAGAATATTCTACAAATATTTTCTTGACTGGGCTGTACTATAGAATAGGTAGAATTTGGTTGAGATAACAACCATGACTTGCAAAGAAGGTGCTCAATAAATATTTGCTACTTGACTATAATTTGGAAATATAAAATAAAAGTGGTGGCACATGACTGTAATCTCACAACTCTGGGAGGATGGCATCTCAGAAGCAGGAGGATGGCAAATTTTAGCCCAGCCTGGGCAACTCAACAAGAAACTGTCTCAAAAATAAAAACCACTTAAAAGATAAAATAATTTAAAAGTCCTGGATTCATTCCACAGAACTACAAACAAAAAAATCCCAACAAATTTGCCTCATAAAAACTATCAAACTAGGTTCAGCTGAGAATAGTTGCACTGACCAGAGGATTTTTTGGTGGTACTGGAGATTGAACCCAGGCTACTCTATGACTTATCTATATCTCCAGCTGTTTTTAATATTTTATTTAGAAGCAGGGTCTCCCTAGGCTGACCTCAAACTTGTGATACTCCTGTCTCAACCTACCAAGCAGCCCAGATTACAAGTGTGAGCCACCACACCTGGCAATGAGAGGATTCTTTACGTTACATACTCACTGTAGTGTGCTTTCCAGCCAAATGTTTGTGGTTTTTTTTAAAAAAAACTTTTGTTAAACCTTGGAAAATGGTAGTAGCAATAGTATGAAGAACCACTGCTAATTTAACATGTCAATATGGTATAATATTTGGAAAATAAAATGTGAGGTTAACATTATGACACAGAAAAGAGAGCGCTGAAAGGTCATCTCATTGACTTCGCTTTAATACTTATTTCCACACAGTTTCATTTGGTCTCTAAATTTTTATGTTTTTAAAAATTAAACACAGGTTATCAAGAAATTATAAATGAAAGGTAAACATTTAGTACTGAAGAAGAGAAAAATGTATACAGTCTAGTTTCTTTCTCTTCATGCACTATTTTGTAATAAAGTCCAAGTACCAACTTCAAAATTACTTACGAGGATAAATTTTTCTTAACATGACCATTTACTGTGTGGTAGATTTTTTTCATAAGCCATATACTGTAAACTAAAAATATTCTTATAGTTTGTAAGAAGCATAGAGCAATTATATACTAAGAGAAGATGTATTATATTTTACTGGAAAATATTATAAAAGTGATATACAGTTGTGTGGCTCTTAAATGATTAATTACTTGAACAGGGGAATGAAGAACAAACAAACAAACAAAATCATCAAGACAGGCCTGGCTTTAAGATTTTTTGTATTCAATTCGTTCTACTTTCACGTCATCTCCAATTAGCTGATAGACGTAAGTGACCACTGTAGAAGCCTGGATATCCATCAACACAAATGACGGAATAATATTTCTGTAAGGCAAAAAAAAGTCAGTTTATTATTATTTTTTTTATTTTTTGTCTCTTTTTTTGAGACAGGGTCTCGCTATGCAGTTCAGGCTGGCCTTGAGCTCCCTTGGTAGCCCAGGCTGGTCTTCAACTCTCAACAATCCTCCTGCCTCAGCCTCCTAAGTGCTGGGGTTACAGGCGTGTGCCACCACGCCTGGCAAAAAATCAGTTTATACTAAAAACTACAAACACTATAACTTTTACTGAAGATGAACAATTTGGACTCAAGAAAAAATCTGATTGTTACATTAAAGAAAAAACAATTATCAAAAGATGATTACCATAAAGGATAGAATTATTTAAAAGGTTACATTTCTCTTTTATGAGATGTCACCCATGCAGTTATTAACCTTACCAAAGCCCCCAAATTCCTAAATTGTATAATACTTACGTTTCCAAGGCATTATAGGCCCCGGTGGCAGAACCTGGGTTAATGTAGAATTTATTTTCATGCTCAAATGCTTCAAATTTGTGTGTGTGTCCTGAGATAAGAATGTCCACATCAAACTGCCTCTGCAACAGGGCTAAGCTCGCCATATCTCCCCATGGAATAACTTGATGTCCATGGATCAGACCAATTTTGAACTGTCCCACAGTCACGACTTTCTGTTCTGGGTAATTCAGATTCTAAGGTAAGAAACAGACAAAAAGAAAATACATATTTTAGAGGTGCTGATATTACAAAATATCAATCTGTTTAAATACTCATATGAATGTCTTGATACAGCACCCCACAACAAATACATTTATACATCCTTCTTTCCTCCTTTCCTCGCTCCCTCCTTTCTTTAGTACGGGGAATAGATCTCAGGACCTTGCGCTTGCCAGGCAGGTGCTGTGCCGCTGAGCTATATCCCCGGCCCCATATTTGTTTTCTTGTTAGTATAAAAAACTTTACTTATGCTTAAAAACATAATTATTCAAATATAAACTGGAATCTATCAAGCAATCCCTTTTTTGTGTTTATTCCTATAAACTATGGGTTCTTTGAGGGATGCAGAATAATTATTCTCCGAAATTTGGGATGTTCCTCTACCTAAAGCATATGACGTGTAAACTAGAGTACATTCAAGTTATATCCCAGGCTGTAAGAGTTATGATTCCTGCTTTATCGATGAGGAAACTGAGGCACAAAGAGATTAAAATAACTTGCCCAAGGTTTCATGGCAGTAAGTGGCTGAGCTAATATCCAAACTTTTTTTTTTTTTTTTTTTGCCGCACTGGGGATCGAACTCACAACCTTGCGCTTGCCAGGCAGGCGCTTATGCCACTGAGCTATATCCCCAGCCCCTATCCAAACTCTTGCAGCCTGGCTCCAGGATTTGTGATTTAGCAAGTTAGAAAAAGTTTGTTAACTCGCTCCCTCCAACTCCCTCCTCCTGTTGAAAGCCAAGACTCGAGAAAGATGGATTTGGGAGGGTTGTCAGCAAACAATTGACAAAACTGGAAGGAGGAAATTCAGGACCAGGAAGCTGGAACACGGGGAAGTTATGTGGTGGCCTGGAATAGGACACTGGAGATGGTGCAGTAAGAAGTTCGTAACAACAACAACAACAACAACATTAAATGATGTACTACATAAAAGAATAACAAAGCCAAAAGGGATAGAGACATACAGTACAGGTTGAATACCCCAATCCAAAAATCCAAAGTCTAAATTGCTCCAAAATCTAAAACTGGGTGCCCACACAATACCAAAAATAGAAATTTCACACCTGGCATCATGTGTCAGGTCATGATCAAAATGCAGGCACTTAAAATATATTTTATAAATTACCTTCAGGTTAAGAGGATAAGATATAAATGGAAGAAAGAAATGAATTGTATATTTACATGTGGGTCCTATCCTCAAGATATCATCATGTATATGCAATATTCTGGGCATGGTGGTGCATGCCTCTAATTCCAGCACACTGGGAGACTGAGGCAGGAGGATGAGAAGTTTGAGCCCAGCCCAGGCAACTTTGCAAGACCTTGCCTTAAAATAAAAGTGTTTAGGGTGTAGCTCAGGGCAAAGGCCCTGAGTTCAATACTCAGTGTCACCCCTGCCCAAATAAAAGAAAAAATGCAGCATCTGAAATGCAAAACACTCTGGTCCCAAGCATTTCTGATAAAAAATATTTAATTTGTACTTTTATATTTGGAAAATTTAAGTAAAGGCAGGGAGGGAGACCTTATCAGTTGAGAACCCTTGATCTAAATGATAAAGCTTTTGTAAGTAAGAATCAAAAGGGAAATGTTTGGGAAAGGAAAGGGAAATACATCACCTCATCGAAGTCTCCTCTCACAATATGAACATCACCAGCCAGCGTCTTGAGATAGTCATAACTCTCTTTGGTGCAGAGGTTTCCAGTGCAGAGAATGTGCTGAATCTTTCCTGGCACCAGGAGTTTTTTGAATTTAGCCGGCAAACTGTTGCACCGGTGTGGGATGTGCAAGTCTCCTAATACCAACACCAACTTTAAAGTGTCAAGGTGAGATAAGGAGTAATATTAAACATGAGGTCCAAACAAGGCATTCTTCTCCCATAACTCCCCTTTAAAGTTAAACTCACCACAGGTTCCAGAACCCAGCAGAGAAGTTATTCATACAGTTTCTATTATGACCATTTAAACAAACATGGTAACATAATGTGCTCTAAATCAATCTTATTTTTACTTTTGGTCATGAAAAGTTGTGCATATACTACAGGTAATCTTTCTACTTACCAAGAATAAAATTAAGCGTTCTTTTTTTTTCTCTTTTTTTTTTGGTACCGGGAATGGAACTCAGGACCTCGCGCTCGCTGGGCAGGCGCTGTGCCTCTGAGCTATATCCCTGGCCCAAAATTAAGCATTCTTAACTGATTCATTTAGATAATTTATAAAGTATGCTGAATAAAACAAAAACATAAGTGCATAGGATTGGGTCCTGTGGAATTTAGAATTTCTGTTTTTTTATTTTGGGGGAGGATTTTTTAAGACAGGGTCTCATTATGTAGTTCAGGTTGATCCTGAACTCACTATGTAGCCCAGGCTGTCCTTGAACTCCTCCAGAGATCCTCTTGCCTCAGCCTCCAAAATACTGGGACTATAGGTGTGCTCTAACAAGCCCAACTTAGAAATTTTTTTTTGAAGAGCTGGAGACATTTTTGAAGATGGATAGAGTAGTTCATGTTTCTGCAGTTGTACTATAAAACTTACACATTAATTCCAGAAACATTACTAAAGACAATTCTTAAAAATGTGACAAAAATAGTAATTCTGAACTTAAGCTACTTGACTATTTAGAGAATAGTCACCAAAATTTACCTTAGTTATTACTTCAAATTATTAGTCATACATTACAGCGGCACAAAAACCAGCCTATGCTTTGGACTTTCTTTTTTTATTATTATTATTTTTTTTATTTTTTTTTGGTTTTTCTCCGGTACCGGGAACCGAACTCACGACCTTGCGCTTGCCAGGCAGGCGCTTTTGCCGCTGAGCTAAATCCCCAGCCCCTGCTTTGGACTTTCAATAGATGAACATGTGCTTTTAAATTATGATCTTTGATATCTTCAGTTTCCTTCATTAGAATTCCTTGTTCATTTTTATTTCCTGAATTAAACTGCCTATGTTCCCACAGTATAGTTCCGAAACTTACAAAGTAACATTTCCACAATATTTCTTGTGCATTACAGCATTAACCTAGAGAAGTCAGCTAAATAAGCGATGAATTTAGCAAGAAGGGTTTAGCTGAGATGACAAGAATATATTTTACCTGTAAATATAAAATATAACCTCTAATCCCATAAAATTTCATGATTTGAGAAAAACAGTGATATTATTTCAATATACCCAGAGCTTATTTTAAAACAGTATCTGTCCTTTAAAGGATGGATTTTTTTCATGTCAGGATTAGTTAGCACCTGCATTCTACATAGGATGGTTTGCATTATAGACATCCCACTCACAAACTGACATGCTCTTTAACTACTTTTAGAGGCATGACTATTCCTTAATATTATCAAAGAAGACATTAAATATCTAATAGTATAAAACAAACTAGTTTCGCTACCTCAGACTTTGTAAATTGGAATTAATAAAAAAAAACAATATGTGAAATTAAAATGACTACAAAAACAAGCTTGATTCATCTGGCAACAAAAATAAAAATGATCGCAAAGGAAAGGAACTACTATCAGGACATACAGTAACACAAGGCTGCAAAATTAGCACACTTTAAGAAATCATTAAATAAGTTTCTCTTTATAAAGAATAGTTTCAACTGATATTGATCAATAACCTATTAATTGTCTCAATACAGATCTTAGGGGACAAAACATCTGTAAGACTAAAAACCACCATGAAGTTTCCATCCTCATTGGCAATCAATATAAAAGTATACTGACAAAGAATAATCTTCATTTTAGAGGGGAACAGGGATTGAAGTACATAGTTAATGTGTGTAGCTAACATTTGAGAAAAAGGTAAAAAACAAATTTCTACATAAAAAAAAACCCCAACCCAATAAGGTTTTCTTTTTTTTTTTTTTTTTCCTCCGGTACCGGGAACCGAACTCACGACCTTGTGCTTGCCAGGCAGGCGCTTTTGCCGCTGAGCTAAATCCCCAGCCCTCCAATAAGGTTTTCAATCAGAATCTACTAGGAAGAACATCAGAGAGACTTGGTAGTTTATAACAACTGACAACCTAGATTCTACAAACTACTGTGCATTATCTCCAAGTGTACCCAAGATTAATACAATAATTGTACAAATGGTTATACAGAAATTATTTCAAATTAATTAAAAATCTTTATACAGAATCCTTTGTTTTCCTGCTGGTAATAATATAAGTGAAATATTGTCACATAATATGTGTTGAGGACTGTCCTTGCCCAAATTCTACACTTTTGACAAATTAGGTTAGACACAAATTATACAGTTCTTTAAGACAGCAAACGATCCTGAAAAGGCAGTCTTACTAAATTCATTAAAAAAAAAAAAAAAGCATGGGAATTTGGTTACTTATTAGATAGACCTTAAAACGGTGGGAAACCCAGTCAGAAATCAGCTGCCCAACCACCACGGTTAGTAGGAGCTAAGAGAAAAAACTTACTCTGTGCCCAGCCTTAGTGGAATGAAGAAGTTGATTGCAGACAGGGGGATGAAAAAAAAAAAGGGTGAAACATGACCAATGTTAAAAGAAAGCAACAAAAGGAAACAAACTAAAAAAAAGAACAAAAAAATCAATACCAAATGAATATACAAAAATTGTTAATGATTTCTGAGTGTTATGAAAGAAAATGTTAAAAATCAGCTATGCTCAAATACCAGAACCATTTGCTGTATTTTAAAACATGACACACATGCACATACAGTAGTTTTCAAAATAAATTTGCCTTGCCAATTTTTTCTATTTTCCCAGATTTTTTTGGTTTGTTCTGTTTTTTTTTTTGAGACTGTGTCTCACTATATATAGTTCAGGCTGGTCCTGAACTCAACATGTAGCCAGGGGTACCCTCAAATTCAGCAATTCCCCTGCCTCAGTACACCAAGTAGGAGAGTGCTGAGATTATAGGCATGTACCACCATGCAAAGCAATTTTTCCTAATCTTGTTATCCATGCTGACTCATATTCCTTTTCTCTTCTGCTGAGCATTTATAAGATTATATAAAACAAATTACTTTATATTTTTATGAGACAATTTGAAAATTTCATCAGTGATAGTTGATAGGCTAACAGTTTCTAGGTTCTTGGGGTCTAATTATCTCTCAAGTATATTGATTTTAATTCTCTTATGTTCCAAATTCTAGTAGTTAAAAATTATACTGTGATTTTTTTAATAAGGAATGTCATACAGTACCATGAATACATGCTCCAGTAATAAAAATGTCATCTAAAGATGAAGACAAAGATAATAAAAACCAACATATTCATCCAGCTAAAATTGGAACTTCCCCATATCTAAATTTGCTGCTCACATCCTTTGGATACTCTACACTGTTAAATACCTATGGATCCTTTGCTTCTTTTCTTTTTTAAAATTTTTTGGAACCAGGAACCCGACTCAGGACCTTGTGCTTGCCAAGCAGGCGCTTTTGCCGCTGAGCTATATCCGGGGCCCTGCTTTGCTAAAAAAATGTTTTTACTTATAAAAGAACTGGCTGATGCTAAATTTCACCCAGTTTTTTTTTTTTTTTTTGTCTTTTTGAGATAGGGTCTCCACTATGCAGTTCAGGCTGGCATTGAGCTCACTTTGTAGCCCAGGCTGGTCTCAAACTTGCAACGATCCTCCTGCCTCAGCCCTCCCCAGTGCTGGGATTACACGCGTGCGCCACCACGCCCGGCCTTCACTCAGCTCTTTTTCAATACAAATAGTAATATTACAGTACAACTAACCCTAAAACTGTGTTGACCTCTCAAAACAACTTCAGAAACATGAATATGGAATCATGGCAAGTAGTTATTTCTTTCATCTTCGACAAACGTACTTGTCCAAAATTACTGTTACCTAGAGTCTCTTTGGAAGAAAAAAAAATCAAAAGATTAAAATATTTAAAGAAGCCAGCCACAGTGGCAAATACATGCAATCCCAGATCCCTGGGAGGCTGAAGCAAGAGGATCTCAGGTTCAAACTCAGCTTGGGTCATTTAGAGAAATCATGTTTCTGAACTTAAAAATTTATACAAGGGCTGGAAATGCAGCTCAATGGGAAAGTCTTAGATTTGACCACCAAAACCGAGTGACGGATGGGGTAGGGGAAAGCAGTATACAATTACCATAAATATTTGGCTGTTACATTTACGTATAAGCTACCTCTTGAAAGAGGTAGCTTATACATACTTGTCATAGAATAAAAATATTAAAAATGCAATGGATGCCTACCAAAGATAGAAGTTCCTTAACAGTTTACCACAACCAACACAACCAGAGACCTTTTGGAAACAGCTGACTTTTTAGAGGGCCCGGGGCACCTTTGAATATCATACAGCCGCGAGCCCTCTCCACTCGCAGCGCCCCAGTTTTTATGTCGGAAGGTCTCAGGGGCAGCAGCCTTCTAGGGGGTGAAGGGTGATGGCCCGAAGCTGGTTGCGGGTCCTGGGGAAAGAGCCTTGCATTTCCCTTCTCCGCACGCCCTCAAACAGGTAGCGAATCCTCCCGCTGCTTCCCGTTTTGCAGCGTGAGGCCTGCTCTCGCCGCACGGTGTGGCCACTACTTCCCAACAAGATTGATTGACTGATTGATTGATTTTTGTCTTTTTGAGACAGGGTCTCGCTATGCAGTTCAGGCTGGCCTTGAGCTCACTTTGTAGCCCAGGCTGGTCTCGAACTCACAACGATCCTCCTGCCTCAGCCTCCCGAGTGCTGGGATTACAGGCGTGCGCCACCACGCCCGGCCCAACCAGGTTTAAAAGAAAGCGTTTCCTTGGAATTGGGTAAGGAAACGTTCGGAAACGGAGGCGGCTGTGTGCGCCTCCGGGGACGCTCCCGGGCAGGCCCGAAGGCCGACCCCAGCTAGGGCGTGGCGGTCCCGGGACAGCGCGAGCAGCCCGGGGGGACCACGCTCCGTCCGGGACGCCATCGGACCCCGGGGACGGCGGCGGGGCCACGGCGGCCGCACCCACAAGTAGCCGCTGCCCTTCCCCAGCCCTCCTCCCCTGGGCCTTCTCCAGGCAGGAGCCCCGGCCGCGCCCACAAGGGCCTCTGGGAGCCCACGCACGCGCCCGTGATTCTCCTCACGGGTCCCAATGGCCCAGCGCCCCAGCCAAGAGCCAGGCCTCTGTCGCTGCTGCTGCGGTGCTCACCATCCTGTCACCAGGATCCGCTCAGTCACCACCACCGCCGCCGCCCTCTTCCTCAGGCTCCTCTGTGCCCCTCCCACTTCTCCCACAACCAATGAAAAGCGAGGTCGGAGGGCGACCGTCCTACGGAGGCCCGCAATGGGCTTTTCCTGCTGGAAAGCGAAGCCGTGTTTTGGAAATTGGTGGAAGCAGGGTTGGAATGAGAGGAATAAGGTTAAGAAGCTTCGAAATAAACGCGGGCAACATCCGGGTACCTGGGGCGTTGGCGCTGAGGCGCGCCTTCCAATCCTGCGTTCTAGCACGCGGGGCCATGTTGAAGTGCGGGATGAACGGAAGTCAGGTGAAAGGTGGAACGAAGTCTCTTGCCTTCCTTTGTAGACGCGGGAAGCCTAACGGCCGCGAAGCGTTTCCGCCGAGGATGTAGCCGTCCCCTGCGTCTCTCTGCACAGGAGCTGAAGACCCGGGCCTGGCCACAGCCGGCCCCCGGAGAGCCCTGCGAGCTTCTGGCAGAGGGCGAAGGCCCAGCTCCTTTCATTTTTAAATTTTTAATTATATATATATGTATATATAATTATA